TCGGTAAATTCCGTACTAATCATGTGTCTTTTTTGTAGTGAATAATAAAATAGGATAATTATACCATTTTAAAACTCTATTTTCATACAATCATATTTAATCTAAATTAATCATAGTAAATGCATTTTATCCTAAAAATCATGATAAAATCCCAATTTAATGTATAACATATTAGATAAAATATGGGTTTATCAGAGGGTGACCTGATAGTGTCTATCTTAACACTAAAGATCTCTTGAACAACAGGGCGCCGGCTTGCAAGGACTTGAAGCGCGTGTACTCTCACATTTTTATTAGGAAGCAAAGTAATTATAATTTCCTTCTTTAGTTTTTTAAATCTTAAAAAAGTAATGACAGGGGTACGATTGACGATAATAATTCTGTGCTAGTTGGGGTTGTTACGAAACAACCTCCAGTTCCATACTAAAGATGGGTCCCAGCAACGATTTGGTCGTAGAAAGTTGAAATATTTGGTGGTAAAAGAAGTTGGAATTAAATTGATAATTCCCCAAAAATGAATTATTGTGTGAAAAGCGCTTGGTGCTTGCAAAAAATACCAAGTTCTTTAAGTTTTGAGCTCTTCTTTTTCTCTTTATTTAATCTCTCACTTATTTACTTTTTGTTATTTATATTTTTGCTTTTCTATTCCTTGCTTGCTTCTCATAAGCAGGGTTTCTTTACTCTTAATAATTCTTAAGGATATTGTTTTTAGGACTAGAATCAAATTTATTTTTATTTACTTTTATATTCTTGCAGTTAATCCTTCACTTGTTTTTTTCCAGATTCAGAATTTTGAAAACAAACAACAGGGTAATTAAATCTATCTTGTTCACCGATGATGGCCAATGCATATATATATATATATATATATATATATATATAGTTTAGTAGTTTACATTTTGTACATGCTTTACCATACACTTTGTAGAGAGGGAAGGATAAAGTCAGGTTGGTGCTGTCACGTCCCCCCCCCCCCCTCCCGGTTTTTTTTATTTTTAACTTGACACATCATAAGTTTCTTTTTAAAAAGTTGAGACAGTGGCCCTTATGTCATGATGTGTCCTAAAGAATTTTCTGGTGTGGACGTTGCATAACTATAAAGTAATATATGTAATGGATCCTAGCTACCTAGGCCTACATCATTACCACAGTATAATCGTGTTGAAAATGGCACTACCATCCTTGTTTTTTTTTGCCCTTTTTGACCGGGGCGCTGCTTGAAACATACTGACTACTCTTATGAGTAAATTGGAATAACCAACTTGCATAAGAGATGTGTTTCAGTGTGCTTCATTTTCTAATTTGTATATGGTCTCGAAATTATGGTAAATTTAAAATTATCAGTGGAGTATATCCCGAATTCGGGACCTCCAGATAATCTTTGATAAAGTGTGTCCATTATATTAGCAGTGTTGTTCTACAATCACAGAATCATGCATTATGATAATTATGGTCAAAATAAATTTTGTTGAAGTGGGATTCCTTGGTTTTAAAGAAAAGAATGTTAATTCTAATTATTCAAAATTCTAATGTAATGTTAAATTAAATAATAAGGCCTGAATTCAAATAAAATAAACTAAAAACTCTCTAATGAGTCGCATATTAGGTTATTTTCTAGAATCTGAAACAAATAAAGACACAGGCATGTCCCACACGGAAAACGGGTCCGAGCAAGGATTTGGTTGTAGAAATTTGAAAGATTTGATCCTAGAAAAAGTTGGAATTAAATTAATAATTCTCACAGAATGGATTACCAAGTGAAAAGTGGAGATAATTAATGCTCATAAGGACGACCCCAAACGAAAATTTACCCAATATAATATATATAGGCCTGTATTGGCCTGTATAGATCTCTGTTGTATTCCTGTGACCTTGTTTTTAATTAGAAATATAGTTTTGATGATGAAACAAATTGGCGTAAAACTATAAGTCTACTTGTATCTAACTCGAAGATTTTAATAACAACAACAGCAACTAAAAGGGCATCTTAATAATTCGCTTTAGAATTTCATTTAAGTTACTGAAACCTGAAAATTAAAGAATAAATATTAATATCATTCAAGGAATATTTATGTCAATATCATTGTATTTTGTGTAATGGAGCCCTTGATACGATACCTTCTCAAAGTCCCGTCATTCCGCATGAAAGAAGGCTCCTAATCTTTTTAAGACACAGACCACAAGCCTTGTACATTGACCCCTTTGAAACGTTGGATATGCTTTATACTCAATATTCTTCATATAATAAGAGAGAGATAGTTGAAAATTTTGCTTTAGTGAAAAATTTGCTTTAGTGTTAAATGTGAAATCTCAATAATATTTGTATTCCAAATGCATAATTTTCTTCCAAGTTATCTCTATTAATTATACATATCAAATCAATATTTTCATCAATAACGGAGTACTAGCTGTTATTTTTTTCAGAAAGTATATGTATTAAATAGGAGTGAGATGGAAAAATTATTAAATTTTGATACGATCAACAAAGTTCAAGATTTTTCTTAGTTTTGGTAAAGAATATTATAAGTGATATAAATAGGATCAAAAGAATAATACTTTTTAATACAAATAATTAAACAAGGTATCTTAAGAAACCAGTTCACATTTTCTAATATATAACTAACTGTTTTTTTGGCCAAATTTATAGCTAACTAGTACTACCTATTCCTTGAGAACGACTGAATGATTGTTTTTAGCTTAATGATCTCAAAAATTATTCTTCCATTAATGGACAATGCAAGTTCATAGCATCTTCCATTAAGGGCCTGTCTGGGTAATATAGGAAACTATGGTTTTGGGACCCAAATCATGGTTTGGGTCCCATATTTGCCAAATAGGGGGGAGTTTAACAAAACTATGGTTTTGGGTCAAAATCATGGTTTTGGACTCAAAACCAGAGTTTCAGAAAAAGTGAATCCATTATGTTTCTTGTTCAAATTGGAGAGTATGATTGTGCTTGTTAGAGTAGATCTCAATGATAGTATGACTTTAACACCTCTCAATTATTTTTTATAAACATATTTAATCTTATATTTTATAAATATATATACATATTAATTAATTATTAATTATCTTATATATTATTAATTATGTTGGTAAAAATATATTATTAACAATTTTATTTCTTCAAATTAAAATATGTTATAAAATCTACCTTTATGTAATTATCATATTAACTTATGCTTTTTTTAGTAATTTGTAGTTATAAAAAATGCTTCTAATAACAATTATACAAACACTCTCACTTTATCAGAATCATTTTTTCACAAAATATGTTCTTCATAAAATCTATTCTCCTAAAAATCTATTTTTCAGAAGCTATTCTCCAAACCATGGTTTGGAGAACAGCTTTTGGAAAATAGATTCTTGGAAAACCATGGTTTGTGAAGAATAGATTTTGTGAAAAAATGATTTTGATAAAGTAAGAGTGTTTAGATAGTTATTATCAGAAGCACTTTTTATATGTACAAATTACTAAAAAGGGTATAAGTTAATATGATAATTATATAAATGATAGATTTTATAATATATTTTAATTTGAAGAAATAAAATTGTTAATAAAATACTTTTTACTAACACAATTAATAATATATAAGATAATATAATTAATAAATAATTAATATATGTATATATATATTTATAAGTTATAAGTTTAAATATGTTTATAGAAAAATGATTACTTTTTTTCTAACATAAAAATATTAATTTGCTTTAAAGATTTTAAACATGAAATTCTATAACATTTTTTCACAACTAGTTTTTATAACAACATACTACCTCTTATCTTTAATATAATTAATTAATTAATTGTTACTACATGTGTAAAAACATTTATAAAATATAAGATTAAAGATATTAGAAACAAGGCCACATCAGAGTTGAGAAAAATGACCGATTGGTGAATATATATTATAAGGTAAGAGAATTGGCTATTAAATTTATTTATGTAACAAAAATGAATTTAGAAGCATAAAACGGGGCGGTTAGCGTGTCTCCTCACTGCTAAACGTCCCTTACTTGCGAAGAGAGAGAGAGAGAGGGAGAGGGAGCAAGGCAAAACAAAGCATAAAAGAAAGGAACCAGCCATTTGGAATGGAGAGCGAGGGACCGAAGGCGGAAGAGAACGAAAGAAATGAATAATTGAGGGTATATGTGTCATATTCGTTAGCAAACCACCTGACACTCCCATTTTTTTTGCCACAAGCGGATTCAAAACACCTTTAACAAAACCATGATTTTGACCAAAACCATGGTTACTGATTTAAGATGGGTGTTTAGATAATTTTTTGCTCAAACCATGATTTGGACAAACACCCAAACCATGGTTTTAGTCTTTTCTCTTTTGATAAAAAGTCTAACAGCGTACTAGTGCCGATGACATCACCGCAATCATAGACGACTTGAGACATTGACTCTTACGAGTGCGCAATTGGGGGGATGTGGATCTTTTTCTACTTTTTTCTCATTTTATTCTAATCATCTCATCACATTTATTTGCTGGTAAAAAAAAAATCACCTTTTATTTGTGGTTTCTCTTTCTACCTACTAATTCTAATTTTAATTATAAAACTTTATTTATAGTCTACATATAAAATTAAATCTTATAATTAACATTATGACAACGGAGGTAGTACTTCTTCTCCCATCGACAATTTTACATGAGGAAACGCGGTGGAATACAATTATTGCCAGACACAATCACATATGCTTGAAAGGCATGCCGATATCTCCCAGTATGATTTGACTCCACATTACCGCTAAGCGACAATACTTCTTTTGCTCCTTTTTATGATCTTCAGTTTTCCGAATAGGTTTGGTTCAATTTTATTTGTAACACTTTTTTTAAAAATTATTTGTTAGTTTTTTTCTTGGAAATATCAGAAAATTAATGTCGGTGTATGATACAGAAAAGTGGAGGTGAGCAAGATTATAATAAGCTAGCCATGTCTATATAAAAGGTACCCACCATATAGCTGGTGAGCATTATCTAAACGCGAGAGATGGCACAGAACAATGTAAGTAACAACCAAACGAATAGCCAAATGAGTGACGAACTGATGAGAGATGTCAGTGCTCTCTATCGGGCATCACGTCGTGGGGATGTACAAGCTTTGGAGTATTTGTTGCAGCAAAACGCATCCATTCTTGACAGCATTCCAGATGACGGCTGTGAAACTCCCTTACACATATCTGCACTGCTAAATCATGCTCCATTCACACAGGTTCTTCTAAATCATAATGGTGACCTCGCCACCAGAAAGGATGCCTCTGGAAGAACAGCCCTCCACTTGGCTTCTGCAGAGGATAACTTGGAGGCCGTGCAAAGACTGCTAGAATTTAATGATGAGCCATGCTTGGTTGCTGATAGAAAAGGAAGACTTCCTCTGCACTATGCAGCTATGAGGGGGAGGACAGAGGTTGCCGAAGCATTGGTCATAGCGCGGCCAGATTCTCTAGGTTGTCTTGACCCTGGAAGGAACAGTGTTTTTCACTTGTGTGTCATGTACAACCATTTCAAGACTCTGCGAGTATTGGTGAAATTGGACTATGCCACTGCCAATGTTACTGTAGGCGCGCCTCGTGCTCCCATCTTTACGCTCCCTGATCATATGGGAAACACCATTCTCCATTTAGCCGTCATGTACACGCGAGATGAGGTACATGATACATACTTTATTCTTCTATCTTCTTTTTTTTTCTGAATTGTGGTCGCAGTTTCCTTTTTCTTTTTTGTAGCCAAAGGCTTACACGACAAGAACAAAATATGAATGTAAAAACATTTTTCCAAACACACGCTGCGTGTTGTTGATTCACTTCATCTTGTTATGAAGAAACATACAGATGTGCTTTGACTTTCTCACTTTTTCAGGAGTTTATTGTGAGCTAGTGGCATGTCAATATATATGGTAACATATAACAATTGGCTAGTTCTGATATGAATATATAAGAACATGGTTATTAATAAACACAACGTATTCACAAATGGCATGCAAATGAGCCAAATACCTTGCCGACGTGTTTGTATTTAGGCTGTCAGGTATGTGCTGTCAATTCCAGAAATAAGAGAAATAAGAAACCAGCAGAACAGGAAAGGCCTTACAGCCCACGATATGCTCACATATATTTGTCCAAAAAACTGGAAAATCGATGAAATCAAACCCATGTTGGAAAAGGACAACAACATGGAAGGAAATTATTTTATGAAGATTTTTAAATGGATGCTATGTTGGATGAAGTATTGGGGATACTACTAATTTTGTAGAAGAGATTAGGGGGAATGTGAGGGCGGCATCTGTTTTCATAGCAACTGTAAGCTTTCAAGCTTTAATTAATCCACCAGGAGGCCTCATTCAACAAGGCTTATTATCCCGAGGCAATACCTCAAACTCATCATCATCTGGCGCCCTCAACTGCACCACCCTTAATGATCTTCATCAGTATTGTCCCGGCCAAGCAGTCTCATCCTTTCGTGACCAAAAAAGATTTTGGGTGTATGTGGAAGATATTACTCTCTCTTTCTACGGATCAATTTGTGTCACCCTCTTGCTTGTAAGTGGAGTTCCTTTGCAGAACAGTGCAGTCGTATGGATTCCGTCCTTTGGCATGTTGTTCACTCTCTTCTTTCTTGCATTTCCATACCTCACCGCCCTCGACTTTATGATCCCAGACCATCTTTTGACATCCGAATTGCACGTCGTCACTCCCTGTGCATTTGCCTTGACTTTTATGATGTATTTCATTCTGATGTTGCTGGTTCCTTGCATCCGGGCTTTGTCATTGAAAACTGCACAGATTATGAGAAGATTATCAAGAATCTGAAGTTAACAAGTTGCTGCTGACCGATCTGTATCTGCCAATTAATGCCCGCCTGTGTTGTCGGCAAGAGAAAAGCAATAGATCATGCGGCGGTTGCTTTTATAATTATCGTTTACACTTTTTATAAATAATATATTGCACATTGATGATTATTTATCTTTCAAATGTCTGCATGATTTTTCTTCAAATTTTAAACTTGGGTAAATTAGAAATATAGGTCAGTATTGATTCGCTTTAGAATTTTATTTATGATAACTGAAATCTGAAAATTAAATATCATTTAGGGAATATTTATGTTAATATCATTTTGTTTTGTGTAGTGGATATGATATATTCTCAAAGTCCCCTCATTCGTGATGAATAAAGTATTATTCCCACGGGAATTTGGTTTCAAAATTCGGTCAAGTATTGATTATCACACTTTTGCTTAATTTGAGTAATACAATTATCAAGAGTGAAAGCAACTATTCGTAAAATTAAAAATTAATAAAAAGTAAAAGTGATTCTTCAATTCCAATGATCCAAAGGGACATAGGATTATTTATCCCCTTTATATTTCAAAAGTACTCAATTAAATCGCCATTGTATTTAATTCTTAATTATAGAGTATGCTAGCCAAGGACACTAAATTACCTATAAGGGCTCTCTCAAGTTCCCCAATCTCTTAATTAATTATTAATTAATTAATTAATTAAGCTCCAATTTTAATTACAAACCTTATATGACCATGTGAGGTTAATAAGTATATCTCTATCTCATTAACAAAACCATCCATCCAACTCTTAAATTTCAAGTTCTCACACGATTAAATCTAAGTTCTACACTCAACCTAACCCTCTCAAGCATCAATGAAGTGAACCCAACAATATCATTGGTGGCCAATCAACAAGAAGCACTAAGCATAGAGTAAAATCAACACAATCATATCATTAATCACAAATATATAGGGGAAATGAGTACTTAATCCCTACAAGAGTTCAAAATAATCCTAGAATCAAAGTATTTAGCCACACATACTCAGAAAATCCATGAGAATATATATACATATCAGCATAAAATGGAATAAGAGTAGAGAAAGCAAGATGGAGAGGAAAAACCAAGGAAAGAAGCCCAAATCTCTTCAAAGCTCCAACTCCTAGCTCAATCTCCTCTAAGAAGCAAGCCCTAGCATAGCCAAATACTCCCAAGAACCACCCAGAACCGAAGAATGGTGGCCAAGGTCGAGTTAGGGAGCTTAAAACCTAGAATTTTCTGACTTAGTGTTGCTGTGCATTTTGCTGTCAGCGACTGCACTGCGGCTCAAAAATTTGGCGCTGCGGCCAAGTTTGTCTTTGTTTGAGTTGGGTGGCAGCCAGAATAGAGTGTGCTGCAGCTCATTTTGCCTCTAGAAAATTTTGTTCTTCTAGCTCAAATGAGGAGTTTTACCTATAATTTGGAGTCTATTTGTTCTTCTTTGATCACCATAGCGTGATTCTAAAGCACACTTGATCCTTAAATACTTCCAAAAGCTTTCCAAATGGCTTGACATAATTACTCTTAATGCTAAAATATACCTTACAAAAATGACAAACTTTATAAGTTCAAAAATAAAAGGGGTAAAAGTCAAAAGATGAACAAATACATCTAAGAGTGCATAAAACTAAAGGAAAAAGTGCTAAAATGACATGAAATTCTAGTGATTAACAATTCCACAAGAAAGAAGGTTCCTATGACAAGTTAGGGGTGTTCAACTTGTTTCGTCTCGGTTATCCTGTCCTAGTTCTGGTCAATTCGGAACCGGACGGGACAAAAAAATTTCAGCACGAAATGGGATGTCATCCTGTACATCCCGTCCCGGATTATTTTCTTAAAAAAATATTTACTAATAATTATTATTAGATTATTCGATTCACTTATTAATAATAATAATTATTATTTTTATAGTGATTTTCAGCTCTTAAGATAAAAAACTCCTTTCTTAATAAAATAATTCATAAAGCCATTATATAGTGTTTCTTTCACTTATTTTTATAGTTTTTATTTTTAAAAGCCCAATAAAAAATAAACATTATAATATACAAAAAATTATAGTGCTTTTTTTTTTTAAAAAAAAAAGAGAAACGGGACGTCTCATTCTCATCCCAGTTTTGTCAGGACCGGGACAGAATTGGAACGGGTTTGTCCTGGTCCCTTCTCATCTCGTGAACAACCTTACGACAAATTATTTGGTACGTATCTTTTCAGGACCCAGACCCCTAGCCTTGTGTACTATTGGGCGGTTTGAAACCTTACATACACGCTATACTCCATATTCTTAGTAGCTGCATCCAACAAACATGCCTAGTTGAACTTTCAAATTATTAATTATTGCTTTCATCTAATAACCAATTAATTAATTAGTTGCATGTATACTGACATTAATTAGAATTTGCCCTATCATCAATGAAAAGATAGGAAACAAACTAAGAGTAAAGTAATCAGTTCATTCCTTTTCAAAATTTAAAAGATTTTGGCATTTCTATTCATGAGACATTTTACCAAATCCAAAAATTAATAATTTTTTTAAAAAAATGGCCTTAAAATTAGAAGAGTAGTGGGGGGAAGGGAGGGAGAGGGAGAGAGAAGTATAACTATTAAAATAAAGGGAAAATTAATTTATTATTAATTAAGTACTTATAATAAGGATGAAAGGAAGGCGTAAATCTCATAAAGTTGAGATTATTATATTTGAAAATGTTTAAATTAATATACTGCCAACATTTTTTAATTTCATAGGTGGTGTGTTTACTTGATTTTTAGCACTGAATATATTGTTGTTATGAAATTTCTGTCTGTACTTGATCTCACCTCACCTCATCTCCTATATTTTGGATTGTTCGCGTTCTAGCATGTATTCATAGAATTTTTTTTCTTTAAGGAAAAAAACAAGAATGTGTTGTTTTGAGGTTGTGCGAAATGCCTCATGACTGGAAGGAGCAATGTTACTGTTGGGCCCAAGCATTGATGAAACCATACTTGAATCACGCATCAACCCAAATTCCTATTAATTAAGGCTACGTTTGGATTGCCGTTTGGAATGCTAAAAGAGCCTAGGAAATTGTGAAACCAACGTTTGCAACTGAAATGAAGAAAAATGATTGTTTGGCTAGAATATCTTCTCCAACCGACTTCTATGGCAAACGGTGAATGTTGGCAACGCTGAGGAGAGCTACTTCTGGAGCATCTGAAACTGAAGTCTACTGTTATAGGGCATTATTAATATCACCTACCAGTTTTAACCCTCCCTACATTTTCTCTCTCCCCGAATCCATTCACTAGTCACTCCCTCCGTAGAGCTTCTCCACCGTCACCGACTGCTCTCCCTCCCTCCTTCTCTCCAGTTTGCTGGCAATGGACGGCAAAACCGATGGCCGACTTTGGTTTGGTCTCGACTTCTTTTCTCTCTCGACGTCTGATTCGTGTAGAAAATGAACACCGACATTGGTTTGAGCTCGGCTTCTCTTCTCTCTCGACATCTGGTTCGTGTAGAAAACGAACAAAGGATGAAGGCATGCGAACCCAAGAGGAGCTCCGGTCTGCAAATCAGGAGGAGAACATGAAGGGACGCCTGGGCTAAAGAAATCGGGAGAGTTTACTAGAATAAGGGTTAATGCCAACTAAAATTAAAGTGATATGAGTTGTATTATTAAAATTTTACAGAGATAATAAAATAAATTCAGTAAATGCCAGTTAAAATTACAATGACGTGAGCTGTATAATTGAAGCTTTATTGGAGTAATGGGATAAATTAAGCAAATGCCAGCTAGGATTAAAATGAGATGAACTGTGTTATTAAAATTTTGCTGAGATAACATACTGGATTAAGCAAATGCCAGCTAAGATTAAAATGAAATAAGCTGTGTTATTAAAATTTTACTGAGATAATAGACTATATTAAGTAAATGTCAGCTAATATTTAAATAAGATGAGCTGTATTATTGAAATTTTACTGAGGTAATAGACTCTATTATTAAGGAAATGCCAGCTAAATTATCATAATAATTTTATATTTTTTTAAAAAAAAAAACGAATGGAAAAAAATGTAATTTTTGAAATAAGCTGTCATTCCACAATTCTTTTCATCTTTTAATTCTAATCCCTCCAAGGGAACTACATTTTTTTTTTGTTGCCAAAATCCAAGGGAACTACATTGAAAATTAACCATAAAATGTGATACTTTTCATTTCAAAAATTAATCATTCAAAAAAACAGAAGGAAAATTATATCCTTTAAAACTCTATTTTCATACAATCATATTTAATCTAAATTAATTATAGTAAATGCATTTTAGCTTAAAAATCCCAATTTAATGTATAACATATTAGATAAAAATGGGTCTATCAGAGGGTGGCGTGATAGTGCCTATCTTAACACTGAAGATCTCTTGAACAAAAAGGCGCGCGCTTGTAAGGACTTGAACCTCCAATTCCACACGAAAGATGGGTCCCAACAACGATTTGGTCGAAGAAAGTTGAAAGATTTGGTGGTGAAAAGTCGAGATAATACTCATCGAGATTAACTCCAAACGAAAATCTACGCAATATAGGTCTCTATTATTAATTTTTCCGCTTTATAAATAACAAACCTTGCCCACACATTCAAAATGTTGGGTATACTTTATGGGGAAAATTTTAATTAAGGATAACTGCAGTCAATTAATTTTAACATGCCCCCATAAAAATCTAAAACTTCAATGCAGTCTCATAGGTGTAAACTGAAATTAATTTTGGGAACAAAAGACAGTGTTGCCCTTGAAGTTTGTTGCATTTGAAACTTGAAAAAAGAATAGGGTTAATATAAATTTTGATCCCTCAAATTTGGGCCCATTTTGGTATTGATCCTTGAAATTTAAAACCCATAGTATTGGTTCCTTAAATTGTATCTGTTTCTGGCCGTTGGTCCTTGGTAGCTTTAGGCTGTCAAAATTGTCTGAGTTGGCACTAACTCTGTTAACATATGATGTGGCATCTTACTTAAGAGAATGA